ATCACATTTTTATTGATCTATTTTCTTGATTTCAGATACCCAAGGACTCTTGCCACTTGATTCAGTGGTAATAGGTTCTGGGGAACCTAAAGCAAAAGAAAGTGTGGCCCTTGCTTAAGGAGGCGAAAAGCAATTGCTGGATTACTGTTTTGAAACAGCAGGCACAGGTTAGCGGTGAGATTACAAGGGAGCCAGGGACATGGAAAGGAGACAAGAGCTGGAACACTGGGCTCCAGGATCTGGCATAAGAAGAGATAAAAGCAGAAGAGCCTTGTTGGAAGACTGCCACAATACATATGGCTTTGGCTGTGACATTTACTGGAGGTCTAACTGAAGAAAGGACTAGTGCAGTGGTGGCGAACCTATGGCACACATGCCGCAGAGGGCTGTTTGTATCACTGAAAGCTCTGAAAGGTTCCCATCACTGAACTAGAGCACGGCTAAAGAATCAAATATCTGATGGGTTTCTTTAAGAGTGACCAGCATTATACAGAAATTAACAGCCATATTGGTCTAGGAATGTTATTTTTTTTTCCCATTTGTACAGGGGTAATGCACTGTATTAAATATGCAGGGTCATATCTACGTGGGTTTGATTACAGAAACTAATATTCTCTAAATAATAAAAAAAAGAATAATATAAGACTACAAGAGCAAGAAGCAATTTAAATATGTTCAGGGACCATTATCATCTTCAGAATTAAGGAATATTTTAATTTTACATCATTGCCTTTTCTCTTTTACTTTCCTTTTTAGTTTCATTTTAGGATTCCCTATTTTTAATGTTCATACAGAGACTGAAATACTGAATAGTTTCTCTGGTGTGAAAAACTATAATAGTACACAAGATCCTAGTGAGATAATTAATAATGTGAAATAGGAAGCAAAGAGCTAAAGGTGTAGGGAAAGTGGGAAGGGTGGGGGAAAGGTAATAAGGGAGAGGAAAAAATATGAGAAACTGAAAAATTGGAAATAAAGTGTTTGTAAATGGGGAGGGGAGGAGGGGGTGAAGGGAGGGCAGGGACAAGGGGAAAAAATGAGAATCAAGATCTATTATGTAAAGGTACAGAATCCCAATGATGAATGTAACTGTATTGTATACCTAGATTGTACCAATAAACTCAATAAAAAGAAAAAAAAAAAGAGTGACCAGCAAATCTCTGTGGCAGTGAGTACAGGCTAAACTCAGATCTGGGGCAGGCTATAGGTCAAATTCAGTACTCAGGAAAAGGGAAACTGCAGGAATATCTGGGTGGGGTCTGTGTTTGTTTTCCAGCAGCCAATACAGTCAGATTCAAGGAAGATTTCTATGCAAAGAGGAAGCTTCTGAATGGCAACTGGGTGATGGTTAAAAGATTTCTACCTGCCACTAAAGACTGAAGTACAAATCAGGATCCAGAATACAATTCTCACCACACTAAGTAAAGGATAAATTCAAGATGAGAGAAAGCATTATTACTCTCTCCTGGAGAGTGCACACAGGAGTAGCCAGGGCACCATAAACCCTACCAGGAAGAGGAAATTAGTTCCAACTCCATCCCTCTCAGGGAAGATGGAGTTATAAATTTATAACGTCTTCTGTTCCAGTTATCAGCCAGAGTTGTGATTACAGGACCACCTGTATATGTTGCATGATTTAGGGAGAAGCAGCTGAAAACACAGGCAAGTGAGTCAGGAAGTGAGGTGTAGGCTTTGGATGCTCCTATCATATCTAAGAGCCAGAAGTGCCCGGCATACGTTGAAGACAGAACCATTGTTTTTATTTCACAGAAGCTTTCCTCAAATTCCCCCAGCACAGTGGGTAGTTGGGAAGTGGTAACTATTACCACCACCGCCATCATCATGATTACTATTTCCTCCAAGACTAAGATCAAGCAATTGTATGATAACCTCTCTGCTCTTAAAACATCATATTGACCCATATCGGTTTAAAGGAGCTTTCCTTCCAAAATTAGGCACAATTTTTTAAACAGCACACAACGTTTTTCAAAATTAAGTTTATTGATATACTTTAGGTATACATAATGATCGCATTCACCATAGGGAATTTGTACCTGCACATGATATATCTTGATTCTTATTTTTTCCCATTCTCCTATCCTCCCTTTAATCCTTCTTCCCCTCCTCTTTTACAAAAACTTTGTTTCCATTTTTCCCTATTTTCTATTTTTTTCTTTTCCTTCCTTCCCTTTGCCCCTCTCCCTAGTTCCCTTACACAGTTGAACATGTTCTTCCTACTTCAAATTGTAAGAGCCTGACTGAACCAGAGCGACTCCATGTTGACCAGCAAACGACCTAGAGACTGTCGCTCCCCCCATCTCTTATAGGATAACTAATGATTAATTGTGAATTGTTAGGTAACTGCTTTGAAGTAGCTGGGAAACTAAATGGAAACTGTAGTGAACACAGAGACCCAACACAAATCACGCCACTCCTTGCTTGCCTGTAGTTGAATGTTCTGAACATTATAATCTAAGTTGTAAATGGAATAATGGATAATCGATCTGCTGATCATTAGTACATGACGGTCAAGTATATGCTTGATGACCACTAGCTCAGATCCACTGATTCTTTGCCTTTGTCCCCTTCCTGTAAGTTTTAAGTGTAAACCCCCCCGCTTAGCCCTATATAAAATGGCCTCTGTTTCTGAGCTAGCTGCCTCTCTGAGCTACTTGGCTTCGGGAGTGCCATCTGGCCAGACTAATAAAGGTCTATTTGCCAACTTGCCTGGTGTGTTCCTTCCTGGGTGAATCCGACAAGCCTGGAGCCTTGCTGAGCTTCTGAGCCCAGCATCGTGGAAGCCTCTTGGCTGTTCACGCTCCAGGAGTAAAAGTGAGACTTAAGTCTTACAAAATATCTACTATATATTTGGTCCTCCTTTATACTCTCTGTTTCTTACACCAGAGAACCAATGTGGTGTTTATATGTGTATCCTGTTTATTTCACTTAAGAATATAGTCTCAAGGTACATCCATTTACCTAGAAATATCTCAAAATTATCTTTCTTTATGGCTGATTAGTACTCCACTGTATAAAAAACAAAGCCTAAGTATGCTGCTATAAACATGGGTGTACACATATAGCTGTGCTATGATGCTTTTACTTCTTTCCAGAAGATACCAAGAAGATCAAATGGAACCTTAAATTTTAGTTTATTTAAGAATCTCCACACTGAGTTCCACACTGGTTGCACCAGTCTACACTTCCATCAACAGTGGAGAAGTGTTCCTTTTTTCCCACAGCCCTGCCAGTGTTTATTATCGGTTGATTTCTTAATAACAGCCATTCTTTCTGAAGTGAGATAGAATCAGTGTTGCTTTAATTTGCATCTCATAAATGACCAGTGATGCTGAACATTTTTCCTTATATTTACTTGCTGTTTCTACTTCATCTGAGAAGCGCCTGTTCATGTCAGATGCTCATTTTTGGATTGGGCCTTTAGATCAGGGGGTGGGGTGCAATTTCTTTATATGTTCTAGGTAGTAGTCCTTCGTATGAGGAACAGCTAGCAAAATTTTTTTTCCCACATTGTAGGTTATCTCTTCACTCTGTTGGTGGTTTCTCTAACAGCACATAATTTAAAGGCTTATCAAATTTCTGAGGACGATGTTTACGGTATAAAGGAGGCATTCCAGTTGAGATGCTTCTGACTAGAGAGAACAGAAAAACTATCTCTAATTGGCCTAAACGATATCAAGGACTAGTAGCTGAAGTGATAAGAAGTCTAGAGAAGAAGCTGATTTTAGGTGTGGCCTGAGCCAGTGGTTCAAAGACATTGTAAGCACTGGGTTTCTTTTCTTCTTTCTTGTTTTCTGCGGAGGCAAGCTTGCCTGACTTGCTAGGCTGCAGGTATCTTTATTTATGTCTATCCAGAAAGAGAGACTATCTCTGCCTTAGCATTTCTACTAAAAGACTGGCACTTGACTGTGATTGGGTCATATTCAGGGACTTGTTCCTTGGGAAAGAATCATGGTGTTTGTTGATTTGCTCAGCAGAAGTCCTGAGCTCACTCCTGCATCCTGAGAGAAACTAGTTTCTCCAAGAACCATGTGAATCTAGACTGACCTGGAACTCACTATGTAACCCAGGCTGGTCTCAAACTCACAGCGATCCTCCTGCCTCAGCCTCCCAAGTGCTGGGATTACAGGCATGCACCACCACGCCCGGCCAGCATGTGAATCTTAAAGTGGAAATAAAAGTTGTTGTGACAGATATAGGACAAATGGATTCCAAAGGAAGGGTTGTTTAGGGTTCTAGGGGGACAAACAAGGACTAATTCAGTTAAGGAAAATAATTTATTAGAAGGACATCAAGTAGCTCAACAAAGTGTCAGAAAGGCTGGCGATCCAGCTTGAGTAAAAATGCATGCATTTGTTCATAAGGGTTACCATGACAAAGCACCACAAATCAGTGGCTTATATAACAGACACTTATTGTCCCACAATTTTGGAGACTAGAAGTCTGAGATCAAGGTGTTAGCAGAATTGATTCCTTCTGAGGGCTATGTGAGAGCATCTGTCCAGGCCTCTCCCCTAACGTCTGGCGCTTGGCTGGCAATCTTTGGCATTCCTTGGTTTCCAGAAGTACTGCTCATATCTCTGCCTTCTTGTTCACATGGTATTATTCTTGTACGTGCATCCGGCTCTGAGTCTACATTTAGCTTTTCTTTTATATATAAGGATGTAGCCATTCGATGAGGATCCATGCTAATGACCTCATCTTCATTTGATAATCTGCAAAGATTATTTCCAAGTAACGTCACACTCACAGATACTGGATGAATTTCAACATCTTTTGCAGGGGCACAAGTCACACAGCATCCCTGTCACTAGGCGTGACTGTGGCATCGCAGCCCCTAGATGCTTGCTGCTCCTCCTCTGGACTCTCGTGGCCCAGGCAGCTATCCTTGCTCCTCAGTGACACTGGTTCCTGTCAGCAACGTCACATTAGAGGGTGGGGAGAAGGCGCGCCTAGCTCGCGCCCTTTCCTCTCTCCTTCCTCAGATTCACAAAATGAGGTAGGTGCTCTCCAACACCGAAAGTCTTCAGTTGCTGGACAGCCAAATTTAAGACTTCCCACGATAGGCGGAGCCCACAAACTGCAATGTGAACCCTTTCGGGTGTCTATAAAGGAAAGGGTTGGCAGGACTGTGTGTATGTGAGGTGTCTCAGGGAACGTAACTCTTATAAAGCGTAAAAGGGTTAGAGGTGACAGGCTGGAAAAGCTAAAGGCAAAATACTTGGCCCTTCAGGTGTCTCAGCCCGTCTTCCTCTACCCACAGAAAATTACTTTTAGTACTTCTGTTGGTGGGGCTCATAGCAGAGCACAGAGGGTGAATTGCACTGACGAGTACACATTGCAAACTCACCGGGCACCGTCATTAGCTCTGTCTAATCCTGACCCATTGCTTTTTTTTTTTTCTTTTGTGATACCGGGGATTGAACTCCGGTCCTTGCGCTTGCAAGGCAGGCCACTGAACCGCTAAGCTAAATTCCCGACATTTACTTCTCCCCGCGCCATTTGCCTTTGAATGATATAACACATCTATGTCTCCAAGATAAGCTTCCCCGGCAACAGATTAACTCCCACGTCTAACAATGCTTTGATACGTTTCAAATATACTGTTTCCCCTTCTTCCTAGTGACCGCCTATCTCTGTATGTCCATCTCCCTCATAGGCTGTATCTTTCTGGAGGTGAGAGAGTATCTTATTTACCACAATATTTACAGTGCTTGCGCCCCCCTGCCACTGAATGCCCAGCAAATGTGAGATGACTCCGTGAATGGATCGATAAAAAGCACTGTGTATGTGCTGCTTGGGAGAAGGGACAGGGTAATTTATTAAATACTGTAGCTTTAAAAGGTTCTCCATTTGACGGGGAACTTTCCTCCGAGCAGTTCTGCTATGATCAATGACCATGTCTTATTTTTCTAACAGCCATGTATAGAATAAAATAATGGGAAACAAACAGAGATAGTAGCATGTGTGTTTACTCTCCCAGAAATGCGGGCTTATTTGGTGCTGTGTACTTATTTTAGTAGAGATTTTTGACACTGAGATGTCAGGCTATTTCTGCTCCCCCAACGAGAAAGCCTGGATATGAACAGAAAGACAGATTTTGCAACTGGTACCTTACTAATGCAAACACAGTTTTCTTTGCATCACTTATTGGTATGAATTTTTATTCATGTTCTAGAAATCTCATACATAATAATGGAAATAAAATGACTTCAAATCCGAACTGAGAACAGAATGCAAAAATTCAGTTCTGTATTGTCTTGGATGCTGAAAATGTATTAGCTCAGCCTTTCAATTTGGGTTCCTTAAAGTTTGAGAAGCAAACAAGAATTAATTTCAAATAAAAATCTGTCTTATATGTATAATGCAATTTTTTACTTTAGTTAGAAAAAAACCACCATTATTTTAAAATTAAATTTCCCTTGAAAAATAAAGGCTCAAGTTCAAGGATAAAGTGTTTTGAAAAACTTGCAATTTCAAAAAACAAAATGAAGGAACATAAAAAATGGTTGTAGGACTTTTGATAAAGTTTTGATACTGCTAAGGTTCCTTCCCCTCCTTTCATAAGAATTGGTCCGTACACTCTTGGGGTCCTTCCAACATAAAAAGTGATTGGCACCTGCTCAGTTCCTACCCTTCTGGTGGTTACTAGACATTCAAATGTACTTGTTCTACACTGATATTGGTGGGGTTGTTTTGTTTTGAGACAGGGTATCCCTGTGTAGTTTAGGCTGGCCTTCAACTCACTATGTAGCCCAAGCTGGCCTTGAACTTCTCGTGATCCTCCTGCCTCAGCCTCCCAAGTGCTGGGATTACAGGTGTGTGCCACCACCTCCAGCTTGCTCTACTCTACAATGAGAAGTAGATGTCTGTAAAAGTTCTATTTTCAGTATCAAACCATTTTCACTTTAATTAAAGATCATAATCCAAGAGAGAAGGTAGGTATCAGGGTAATAAAGAAATGAGTGGTTAATGCTTTAATGAAACTTCCAAAGAGGTTCCATTTTAATGGTGCTGGTAAAGAAGGGAGATAGCTATAGACATGTTGAAAGTTCTTCAAATTTGAAATGTAAAATACATGACTTATTTACAATTTTAAATATATTTAGATATGCTCATTTAACAAGCAGGTATTGTTAACTATGTATATAGTGACCTGTTAGGGAGATGTCCAGCAAGGAAGAGTTCTGAAAGATATTCCTGTACATCTCTGGTATATAATCTTAATTCATATCTTACTTCAGACCTAGCTTCTAGACTTCTGAAATAAAATCTCTCACTTTTGTAAAGGTGTTTATTTCAGCAGAGCATTGTGATGCATTTCTGTACTCCTAGCTAATTGAGAAGCTGAGGCAGGAGGGTCAATTGAATCTAGATTTTGAAGGTCAGCCTGAGCATCATAGAGAGACCCTCATCTCAAACAAACAAAAAAATAAGTAAGTAAGTAAGTAGGTAAAGCTGTGGGTTGGGGATGTAGCTCAATAGTACAGCACTTTCCCAGCATATATGAGGCCCTGGTTTAGTCCCCTGGGCCACAAACTTTTTAAAAGGTGTTTTGTTTTCTTTGTGATAATTCTTCCATTCTAAAAATCTTTCATTTATCATTTTATCCTATGACTGTTCGAATGGTCTGCTTGTTATTATGGCAATCTTTAATTAACAGACTATCAGGATTCCCACTAATTTATCATCATCATCATCATCATCATCATCATCTTAAGTCTCCTATGGTCTGGGTAAGTAGTAAAATCAAATGCATTTCCTGGCTAGGAAGGTAACACAAAATGTACAATAAAGAAATAACAGGGAGTTGTTGGCCTTTGGAAAACTGGGGGATATATTCTCTACCTAAAAAGCATTAAAACCATGATGCTAGCCAGAAAGGACATATCTGTGTGTATTTTTTGTTTGTGGACTTTGGGTTTCTTTTTTAACATTTTGGAAAATGATAATTAGACAATGTAACTCTCCAATTAAAACACAAATACATGAGATTAGTGGCTTACTCCTGGAAATATTAAAGATAAACATTTCGAAAATATTTTCTGGTGAGAGTGCTGTTAACTAAAATAATAAAAATACTAGTAAATGGATCATTGCTGGATGGATTAAGCGGTGAAAGCATTATGGTATATAGAATCCCCAAGAACACTTATAATTATATTGCTCTTTTTATTTATTATGAATTAATAGTATAGGATCTATTTTGGGAAAAAATTTTGCTTTGTAAATACTCTGTGTATGCATATTTGCTCTGTATATTTACATTAGACAAGGGTTTCCTAAATTGTTGTCTAAGGCCAATCTAATACTCTTGAAATTGTTACTCCTCAATGCAGCTCAATTCAGAGGAAATGCTCAATTTAAAGCCAGAGAGAAGGAGCAGATCTCAAAAGAACAGTGAAAAAAATAAAACAAAACAACATATGCTTTAGACAAATCTTACAAACATAATTTAGCCTAGACACAGAACAGGAGAAAATAAAGATTGACTAATGGCCGTGGACCAGAGTGTTCCCCAAAGCCTTGAATCTGGAAATTATTAATTCCTATTTTTTTTTCTCACCTCCTCAAAGATTCGGTGCATACATTGATGTCTGGAGCCAAATCCACACAAGATGATTTTTGCCACTGCATCTGGTTCTCTGGGAACTCCATTGTCTGCTTTCTTGAAGCTTTTCACCTTTTCGTCTGAAGTATGTTCTGGCAGCCAGAGATGTGTCTGAATTACGTTGTGTTTTTAGGAATCCCACTTTCTCTTTACTGGTAAAATCTGCAACCTGGTGCAAGGATGTTAGAAATATGCTTCCTGAGTATACATTTGGGGGGCGGGGAAGGCAGTCCCACTGTTCTTTAAACCCACTTACAATGCAGTTCTCATTCCACCAAAGACTAGGGTTTCCTTTTGTCACATGGGCCATAGTTAAAAACCACCAGTCCTCTAGTGACCAGTGAAATTGTGCCTTTGCCATCTTTCCCTGATGAATGAGGTGGCTGTTAGATCTCTGTTCTTTTGTGAACAGAATACAAAATAAAGTGGTACACAAAGGAAAACCCACACAGTTTTCAAGAGCAAAAGTACTCCAGTTTGAACAAATAGTTTGGATTTTATTATACTATATTTGGCATCACACCCAGATGATTTATTATATTAAAAACATCTTCTTAAAAAATCAACCATGTTTTAGAAACAAAAATCAAAAGCTTAAAATATATGTCTCCCAAGTAAGTGCCTGTTTTCCCTGAACTAAAACTGAATAGTGTGTGTTACATAATGTGAGTAAGCTAAAACCAAAATCACTGGTCTTCCTTCTCCAACGAAAGATGATTTCCCAAAAAGCCATGGCCCAGTTGCACTATTTTGTTTGGAGATCATGTGCAAGATCATAGCCACATGATTAAAGTTTTCCAAAGGATGTTTTCTAAATCTTCATAGAAATAATTTTTCTGTTTTAATTCCAGGTTATAGGAAGTTTGTAATGGTTAAGTATTTCTGTCATTCTCAAATATTGCTTTAAGTTTTTTCAGTCAGAGTATTTAGGAAATAAGACTATAGGGATTTACCTAAAATAACTAGGTATATTAACCTCAACTCACTAATATAAAAACTTGGATATTTAATTAGCCTTTATACTCTTTCAACTCATTATAAAGTACTTTTCAATCATTTGAAGGAATGAGAAAAAGTTCTTAGAATGAGAATAAAATATACTATATAGTATCCACTTACTCAATAAAATGCTATGAATACTGTAAGTATGCAGACCTTTTTTGGTAGTGCTTATTATCCTGCATAAATATTAAGTTATAGTCTATCTTTGGAAGGTTGGATATTGACCACTTCTTCAGGTACACGTGCATTTATTGTAAGAGAAAACATTTCTATCTTTGAAACTGTTTGAGCAAACCAGGATATAATAGTCTATTAAAATAAAACTAAAAAATATTAATTCCATATTTGATGACAGTATTAAGAATTTTATTCAAGTATCCGTTTTTTTTTTTTAGCCACTTGCATGAAATTTTTAGAGTAAAGCGTCAGTTTAGGCTTAACTTAATAATGAATATTTATCTAGCACTTTCACTTATCTAACTTGAACCTTATGAGGAATATGAAGAAATATGGGAGAATATGGGAGAAATATGAAGAATAGGGGAGAAACTCAAACAACAAGTGACGTCCTTTTAGGTCATTGGGAGAATTGAAAAGATTATGTTCAGACTCCAAACCCCATGGGCTAGCAGGATAGCAGTTCCAATGACCCACAAAAAGAAATAGATCTTCAGGTATTCATGTTTGAGTTACAGATCTTACAAAATAATGCTTATCCTTAATGTTTGTAAAACACTTCTATTTTTAAATTATATGTCTATTTGTTAAGGCTGGTCACAACCACATTCAAATTGATTTAACCGCCATCAGTGGTTCATAACTAACAAATGGGCTCTGAGCCACATTTGGAAAAACTATCTCACAGGGTCCTTGGCTATAAGGCAGAATCTTGCAACTTGTGTGTCCACACAAAAAGGACCTAAGTTCAGAAGGCCCGATGCTTGATTGAATGCTCTGAACGCCGTCTTGGAATCCTTAAGTGTAAATCTAGTTGGTGTTGTGGAAGGGAAGTCTGGGGAATGACGGAGTGTAAAGACGCAGCCAGTGAGCTTGTGGGTGGGGCCGTATCCCCCAAGCATCTGCCGTGTTTATGGTGCCTCACTAGCACGGAATCACGGTGCACCTGCACTGGGCCGGAATGCAGCAAGGCTCCACGCGAGGTAACTGTGCTAAGTCTATGACTAAGGAAGGGCGCCCACAGCCTGGAGAAGCTGGGCTTTCAATTAGAGCCAGACATTGCTTCAGATGAGAAAAAAGCCTTCCCAGGTCTTCTAAGAACCCGGTATTACCAAGAGACCTTACTATACCATTTCTCATTCGTTCTGCTTCCCTGTGTTAACTGACCACTCACCCTGAAGGTGACAACATTGAAGGAAAGGGAAAGAGGGTAACCCAGACTTCTTGTTCCTTGCAGTCCTTTCTCTTTTTTTTTTTGGTACCGGGGATTGAACTCAGGTCCTTGTGCTTGCAAGGCAGGCGCTGGAACCAGAGATAAATCCCCGGCCCTGGTAGTCCTTTCTTAATCCTAAGTAAGTCAAAGACAGAATATTGGTAGGAAATCTGTGTATCCACAGACTCAATCAAAATGACTGTATTAGTTTTATGCAGCACTTTCACTGCTCTGATAAGAAGGGAATCATACACATATTAGTTAGGAAACACAAATTGTGTAGTTTTGGTGATTCTGTATGAGTTAAATGTTACAGAACTGCATGAAGCAAATGTGAATGGTAAATTCATACATGCAAATAATTTAAAATTTAAATTTTCTTTGCTTAGGACACAAAATAGCAAAACAAAACAAAAAACACCCCAAACTATGACAAGTTGAGAGATAGACAGACAACCAAAAAAAAGAAAAAAGCTTTTTAGTACTTTTTTTTTTTTTTGGTACGAGGGATCAAGCTCTGGTCCCTGGGCTTGCGAGGTAGGCAACAGAACCTCTGAGCTAAATCCCCAGCCCAACTTTTTAGTATTTTTAATAGCATTATTTTCCTGGCTTTTGAATGTGGAGCCCAGCATTTTCATTTTGAATTGGGCCCTGCAAATTATGCAGCTGACTGCAAAGGATTGACTAATGGCCCCTGTAATTTGTCCATATACTGGTCTCCAGAATTTGTAAATGTTATATGGTAAAAGATGTGAGTAAGTGAAGGTCTTGGGAGGAGAAATGGTTCTGGATCATCTAGACAAACCCACAGTGCACACCATGCAATCATATGGGCCCTTACTAGACAAACACACAGAGTAGAGGACACAGAAGCAGAAGTGGCAAGGAGACCATGGGACCACAGGTCAAGGAATTCCAGAGCCACCCGCAGCTAGAGGAGACAAGGAACAGAATTTTCTCCAGAGGGAGGAAGCGTGGCTCCACAGACACCTTCAGTTAGAGTTTTTGCCTCTAGAAGTGTGAGGGAATACATTTCTTTTGCTTTAAGCCACCCACTTGGCACTGATTTGTTGTAGCAGCCCTACCTAGGAACTAATATCTGACTCTGCCTGCCTCCTGGAAGCCCTTTCTCAAGGTGTGTGGGTTGTGTTCTGGAAGTGTTTGTACTGACACTGGAAGTGTTTGTGAGGAGCTCTCCTATCTCTAGATGAGGAGGCTTTATTCCTGCCCACTGGGATGGCAGTCTGCAATTATTTCACACCTCAGTTCTAACCCTTTCTCTTGACTTTGGACTCTACAAGCTCTGCAAATGAAGAGCACATTTTAATGGGTTCTCTCTCTCCCTCTCTCTCCCTCTCCCTCTCCCTCTCCCTCTCTCTGTGTTTTACTAGAGGTTAAATCTAGAGCCTTTGCACTGAGCTACATTCCCACCCCAGAAAGAATGGCTGCGATCAAGAAATCAATCAATAACAAATGTTGGCAGGGTTGTGGGGAGAAAGGAACCCTTCTCCACTGTTGGTAGGAGTGCAGACTGGTTCAACCACTATGGAAATCAATATGGAGATACCTCAAAGAACTAGGATTAGAGTTCCCATTTGACCCAGCCATCCCTCTGCTAGGTATCTTTCCAAAAGAATTAAAAGAATCATATCACAGTGATATATGCACACCTATGTTTATAGCAGCACAGTTTGTAACAGGTAAAACTTGGAAACAGCCCATTTGCCCATCATTTGGAGACTGGATAAAGAAGATGTGGTTTTTCTATAAAATGGAGTACTACTCAGCCATAAAGAATGAGAAATTAGAGTCATTCATAGGAAAATTGGTACATATTAAGGATATACTCCTAAGTGAAATAAATAAGTAACACATGCATAAATTCCAAATAGTTTCTCTGGTGTGAAAAACTATAATGGTACATAAGATCCTAATGATATAATTGACAAAGTGAAATAGGAAGAAAAGGACTAAAGGTGTAGGGGATGTGGTAAGGGTAGGGGAAAGGTAATAAGGGAAAAGAAAAAAAACATGAGAAAATGGAAATAAAGTGTTTTTAAATAGGGAAGGGAGGAGCGGGTGAAGGGAGGGTAGGGATAAGGGGAAAACAATGAGAACCAAGACCTGTCATGTAAAGGGACAAGGTGCCAATGATGAATGTAATTGTACTGTATACCTAACATGGACCAATAAACTCAATGAGAAAAAAAAATTTTGAGACAGGGTCTTTTTTTGTTGTTGTTGTTATTGTAGCTTGAACTCCGGACCTGGTACTTGCAAGGCAGGTTGGAGAACCACTTAGCTAAATCCCAGGTGTCAAGACAGGCTCTTTTTAAATCCTCATGTTGTCCAGTCTGGGGTCAAACTCATCCTCCTGCTTCATTCTCCCAGAGTGCTGGGATCACAGGCATGTGCCACCCATGCTGGCTCCTGTGGATTGCCTTGATCAATACTTGCTTCATAGAAAAAATGCTCAGTGGATCAGCATTCAATGACCAAAACCTTCAAATACTTCTAAATATTTTTTGTGTTTTCCATTTAACATTTAGAGAATTTACACAAAACATAATATAATATAGGGGTGTGGAATTATATCCACATCCCTATTTAAAATGAATAGAGAAACTCTTAGTACTGAATTTCAGGCAAATACATTTTATTTTCACAAAGGATTGTTTTTAGAGGCCAAAGGTGATTTAAACTCAAGAGGTCCAGTA